TCTAAAGAAACACTTCAATAGTTATTTGGACTGGTTATTGGGCTGGTAGGCATAACTTGATGTTACCATCTTTATATCATTATTTGTTTTCCATTACATTTTATATTTTAGGTTATGTCAGAGCATTAGCAAAATCTTAGGAGAATATACCCAGTGGAAAGCTTGGGAAAAACTGAACAGTTGATTGTGGTACCAAAAAGAAATATAGGTGTTCTGGAACATGTAAATAGTATTCGAAAACGATGCTACATTATTGTCTCAAATATTCCATTTCTAGTAAACCTGATTTAAAATAAAATTTTCATTACTATTCTTGAACTCTGTTTTCTCAACATACAACCCTGTCCCTCCAAGTCTTCATCTTTCTTGTTGTAGTTACCTTTTTTGGTCCTTATTTAATCTTTTACCTGTATTTAGACTTCTTGCTGGGCTAATAAATCAGTTGGTTTACTTTGGATTTAGCATGTGGATATTGTGAATTGTATACCACTTTGTGTGTGTGTGTGTGTGTGTGTGTGTGTGTAAATGTACACACATATATACATATTGTGTCACTGTGTGTATACACACATACACAATATGTACGTGTGTAAACCAAATTGCTATGGCTTGTTTAGTGCAATATGTCAAGATTAATTAATACTATTAGCAGAATGTCAGTTCACAAGTAAACTTGACTTCACTGTGACCTTTTTGCTGATTTCACGAAGAAGGTTCTATTCTGTGAATTCAGATCAGAGAAGGGAGGGTGACCTTTGGGATAAAATGTGATATTTTAAACATGATCTTTAACTTGTATAATAACACAGATTATGTTCCTGGGAACAAGAGTACTCATAAAAAGACAGTTTGTTGTTTTTCTTTAAGTGTCACCCCAAAATATGAACTTCTTTGGTCTATTTCCAGTATTTAATAGATACAGAGATTGCTCACCTTTCTTCTTGCAAAGACACATATATAAACTTTTGGAACTTGGTATAAAACAGTTACTCAGCCCTAATAGTTCTGTCATCATTTAAAAAAATCTTAAGTGCCAATTTGCATACAGCTGTTAAAACAAAGCAATCTGCTTGGGAAAGACAGTTGGTACAACTGCTACTTTTCTCTTTGTCCTTTTCAGTTTCTGCAACATAGAAACATGAATCATCTGTCACCCTAATTGGACAATGATAACCCAATGAGCATAAATATATGCAACATAATTCAGCCTTGATTGCTTTAATTGCTTATATTCTGTGGTGAGTTCTGCAACCTGTTTCACCCAAGTTTAGCCCTACTTTGTGAACCAAGGCCCACCAAAATAGACTAATCCTCTTTCCAAAACTGTACAGCATACACCCAAACTTTGCCCCAAAGAATTAGAGGATTAACTAATGAAGAAAAATTATTCTTGCATAAGGAGATGATGTTGGATGTAGCTCATTATCTAAAATAGTGCAAATGTCAACAATTTAAAAAAGTGGGAGACTCTTAAGAACTCCTCTGTCCTATCCTTTTCAAAATGGCACAAATGCTATAGCTGCCACCTAATATAAGTAGAATAATAAACACAGGAATGAATTAAAGCATATTGCTTCAATTTCTTAGAAGAAGTAGAAAGCTTATAGCAGCTTTTAGAAAAAAGCGAGCCTCTTCTTATGTATGCAAACCCAAAAGGAAATTTAAAGATAAAGAAATAAAAATGCATTTTTAATTGCATTATGGACATTATTATGTAATATTTTAAATAGATCTTTAAGCCAATCTTCCACAACCTACAGATATTTTGATCCGATTCTTATGGTTAACAGTTTTTTGTTTTTGTTTATTGTGCTAACATTTCAGGCTGTTTGCTTTTTCAAAAGATTAAAATAACCTTGAAACTAGACAGTATGTAGCATTTTCTTTTCTAGATTTTAGTTATGATAGTTTAAGTTACAATGTATAAGAATTATAAAAGGTTTAAACAACTTTGGTTGCCCAGGGCTAAATAACATCAGGGTTTTTAAGCGATAAAGATCAAAGTTCAAACTGTAGTTTGTGATTTTACACTCATATCACTTGTTTTCTGCTGACCACGGAACACTGCAAACAAGTAATATTTCTGTAGCTAAAAGGTTTAGATTATTAAAATACACTCAAGCAGCAAAGTTATTTTTTTATAATTCCTTTTAAAATATTGTATTACTTAATATGATTAAACATATAAAACCATGAGATTGTGAGTAAATCACAAGAAGTTCAGTAATGGTGCATAAAATATATAAAGGTAGAATTCTCAGTGAAAATAAAGAGAACATTCTTGTCAAGTATAAACTTTGCACAGAATGTGTCTGTGGCTACTTAACTCCAATGTTCAGATGACCTGTTTTCTACAGTTTTTCATATTCTTGGAATTTAAAGCACTGTTGAGATGAAATGGCTTTACAGCCATTATTATCTGCAGTAAGATTTTATAGTAGAGAACAATCTGTTACCCCAGAATCCTGTGCAATCCCTGAAAGTCTTGTGTGCAACTACTAGAGCTCTAAAATTGTGTAATGTTTAATCTAACAGAAGTGGATATGTGTTATAAATACAGGAGTGGGAAGTAATTCTTTTTAGTTGCATATAGCAGAAAATATTTTTGTAGGTAACAGCTTCTAAGCTACTTGGCTTATTCCCCCAACATTGATAGGGTTGTATAGACCCAGGAGGGAATAATTAGCCAACTATAGGCTAGACTGAGCATTGCATAATAACTTAGAAGTGGCCATTGGAAATGGCCTTCTGTTTTCTGCTTTGCATAGAGCTAGTACTAAAATTTTTGATTTCTTAATCTTTTGTGTTTCGAATGGCAAATAGTTTATTTTCTTTTTCTTGTATAATCCTTATTAAATAAGTTTTCAATAGAATAAAAACAATAAAAATTTTGAATCGTGAAAAAGAATAGGGAAAAAGAAATAAAGCAAAAAGCATAGAAAAGAAAATGAAATTCTTTTGTGTTTTAAGTGGCAAATATTTTGTTTCTTTTTCAAGAAAATAATTTCAGCAAAGAAAAAAGCATATGGCAGAAATAGTGGATTACCAATGGAGCAGTTACTTAGTTTGTGTTATTAATAGAAGTTAATGAAAGAAAGAAGCTGTTTTGTGTTAATGACCATAACATGCATGAATTTTCAGAACAGAATAAACATTGAGTTTTCTAGTCTACTTCAATGCCCCTACAAGTGGTCATCCAATTTTCATATCCAGTATTAGATAATATTCATTATATGAATATGAATTTACATTTATATAATAATACTTGCTTTCCCCGATTTTTATCTGACTTCGATCAGCTTCCAGGTAATCAGAACTGGAAGGTATTATTTTGTGCCTCCCAGGTTTTTGTTAATAGCTGCGTGCATACATGGATCTATGAGTTGCATATAGAGCATCCAGGAAGAAGGCAATAATAATAAAATATTACAGGTAGTCTATGATTTACCAGTCACTTAACAAATGTTAAAAGTTACAATGGATTTGAAAAAAGTTAACTATCAGTTCTTGAAGTTATGACTGCCGTACCACCCCAGCAGTCACATGATCTCATTTCAGATGTTTAGCAACCAGCTCCCATTTATGACTGGTTGCAATGTCCCATGATCATGTGATCATATTTTGGAATGTTTTTTTGCCATTTTCCATTAGTAAGCTGAATTCAGACTTATGACCATGTGGTTCACTTAACAATCTGGTGGCTTGCTTAACAGACATTGCAAAAACAATTGTAAAATTGAGTCCGGTCACTAAACTTATGACTACAGCAACGTACAGCCAAAATCCAGCATCAATAAGGTCATAAATCAAGGCCCGTGTACAGTATTCTCATACTCGTTCTGTGTACTAGTGCAGCGGTCTCCAACCTCTGAGCCAGGATCGACTGCATCCAGGCTTTAGAAATGGTGGGCAAGCGAATGCACATCCCCCTTTGCCACAATCAAATGGAGCTGTGCCCACACTTGCCAGCCAATTGCGTGGAACTATCCCTTCTCCCCCCCCCCCCCCCCCTCCTCAAAGCCAGAAAAGTTGTGGAACTCTGTACAAGTGTAAAAGTATTTCATTGATAAGTACAAATTAATTTTACACTGCCAAAAGCACTAATTGCTGTTTTCTCTACCATGTTGGTAGCCATGCAAATATTCTTTCTGTGACCTTTAATACAGTCTTCATCAACCTAATGCCCTTAAGTTGTGGTGGTGAGCATTAATCATCCAGCCAACGGGGAGTTAAAGTCCAATAGTATTGTGGGGCATTTGAGAAGACCACTCATATATTAATTATGCACACCCTAGCATGTTTGAGTTTATAGAAGAGCAGACCTCAATCTTCTGAAATTAAAGAAGATTGAATGAATCATTTTAAAATATGTTTTTCATTGAGAATAGGAAAAAAATGGATGTGCCCAATAATATCTTTACATTATCCATATATCAGATCAAAAGATAAAGATGTGGTTGTCCCGATATAAATCTATTAATCTTTTACTAGAACCATACATTTAAGTACCTAAGTACATTTAAGTACCTAAACGATATGGTTGGTAATGTTTGAAAGAAACATTGAAAAATGTAAACTAATAGGTTAATCTTAACATGCAGTGGAATCCATGGAATTTAATGTGCTTTGTTATAAACCGCTAACAATACTGATAACTAATAATAGAACAAGAAATGACCACTACAAATTGCCAGTCATTTGTTTTGCAGAATGGTATTGTTAATTGTCTTCATGTTACCATATGTGGTATTCAGTATTAAATAGTATTCAACATTCAAAAAAGAAGTCAGACATAGATTTTGAACCTAGAATGATCAGTTTTAATATTTTGCTAATGCATTGATTTTAGCCAGAGTCATGTACTAGAGATAAATGACAACATGAAACAAACTTTATGTATCAGATTTTCAAATTAACATACTTTCCTGTAACTATCTATAAACTGGGAAATTATTGGGACTATTTATTTCCTTATGCATTGTTTTAATTTTTTCTTCTAGGTCAATGTTCGAGTTATCACAATGGATGCAGAACTGGAGTTTGCTATCCAGCCTAACACTACAGGGAAGCAGCTGTTTGACCAGGTTAGTGTAAGCATGCATAAAAAAAATTTTTTTTTAAAGAAAGAAATTGCAGGTGAGAATTTGATTTCTGACCAAACAGAAAACCTTGAAATCATGAATACAAAGAAAACCAAACTACCTCCTATGTTGTTAACAGATATAGGTTCAATAAATGTGGTAGTTGACATTTCCCTTGACATTCTATTTAACATTAAAGTAGTTTTTTGACTTTTCATTGTTGTATTTTCATAATGAGATTACTACGATATCAGCTAACAAAAGTTCTGCTGTGTCCTGTAATATATTTCTTATAGATAAAAAGACAATATGCATCCGTGTCTTATTCCCCTTCCTATTCTGAGGCATTTCATTTTCCCAGATTCATTTCTTGTAGCAATTTCTTACTCATTGTAAAGGTTGCTCAGAACACATAACACAGATAAGTTATGACACATCATTAGCCTGAATATTACTAATGTACTGTCACCATCTACAAATCAAAGGCCTTGTACTGAACAGAACAAATTTAAACCTCTTAATATCATTTGTACTTATTACTTATCTTACATTAGCTATCCTATCATGTATCCATCTGCCTTTTTGGAAACTTGTCTGTTTATTCCACATAAAACTTCATTATTCTTCATAGGAGCTTAAGCAAAATGTTGTTTTATTTTTTTTAAAAAGTACCATGGATTTTTTTTTGCTTCTTTTTCATCTCTCCTTCATAAGTATCTTTACCTTAGCTGTATATTTTCCTGTGATTTTTCCAAACCTCAAGTTGTGTTGTTAATTTTTCTTTTATTCATTATCTATTGATATTTTTGACTGAAATAGAAGGAGTTAGGAACCATATGCAGTCCACTTTGTTGTCTATATTATCTTGATTTAAAATAATCTATTAGCTTTTCCTTTTACACCATTGGGGTAGAATGGCATGTTTATTGGATGTTTACTAAGTGAAAATACTGAATTAAAATTCTGAGAAAGAAATCCTAATGCATTTGCTTGGGGTTCCAATTAGAATGACATAACAATGACATTAAATACTTGATTATTAGTCTCTGTCACATAATTCTTCTTTTATAACAGGAGCAATATATGTTTATTTTATTAGATGCTAGGAAATAAAATCAGTTCCAGTGGGTGCAATCTGAAATGTTCCAGAATGATAAAGAGAAAGGAGTAGACAAGTAACTTTACAAGCTTGTTTAAAAAGGAGCTTATAGGACATGTTTCTAGATAGCTAAACAACATATAAAGTAGACAGTCAAGCAGGCATACTAGAGTTGAGCTGGAAACGCATATCAGGATAGTTCTGTTAAATTGATAATTTCATACAAATATCTTGAGAAGTGCTTTGCTAGAGAATAAAGGTGGATATGAATCCTGTGGACTACATTCAATTTGTGAATAAAAAGATTGAAAAGTTACATAGTTCTTCTGTCCTGTTTTTTATTTCTGATATAATTGGCAACTCTGCACATTGATACATCTTGTTTTTAGTTATCATAGAGTATATCCACACTACCTCCTTAATCTGCCCTGTTTTTGTATTCATGGCAGCTTGGCTCTGAAATGGATTCAGAAAATCCTTCCCAGACTAAGATTCTTTAACAGCAATTTGCAAGATGTTCAGTCTAGACTACTATCATGTTCTGATTGGACAATTCTGCTGCTGTGCCCTCCCACTTTTTGGTTTCAGAAAAGCCAATTTGGCCAATTACTTGCCTTTCTGGATATATATACTGTATATACTTTCATGTACACATGTGTACAGCCACAAATATTGGCAAAGTTAAATTAGTTTTATATATATAAAGTTTTCGTGGGTACTTACATGTATGGTATTCAGCTTTGTTCGGGTATTTTCTTACGTCATTATAGTTGTGCTTTTAAAGTTGTAGCAACGTTTTGACAGAAGCCTGATAATGGCAGATGAGATTCTGCCGAAACGTTGCTACAACTTTAACAGCACAACTATAATGACGTGGGAAAATACCCGAACAAAGCTGAATACCATATATATAAATACCCGTGAAAACTTAAGAATGAAGGGGTGTGTGTGTGTGTACACACACACACACACACATATTGCAGGCATGACTTTTTTTTGCTTTTTTCCTGATTTTCCTGAATAACACCTGCTACAGATTCTTTTACAACAGGTTTTCCTTGCTAATTTAATAACTATAAAACTTGCCTTACTTCCCCTATTTGAAATTCAGGAGGATTTGTGGGGGTATTTAATTATTATTTTTATTATACTGAGCTACCTACTTTTTCTCAATGTTTTCTGGTGCATTTATTTTCCAGCCCAAGTAAATAACAATCAGAAAATCATACATATCAGCATAGCTGTCCCTGAAATGTGCCTTGAAGGAAGCAGTTCCCAACATTTTTTTTCTTTTTTTTAATTTTTACAATCTTTATTTTGGAATTCAAGCTTATGCCCAATAACTTTTTTTTTCATTTTTACCTTCCTTATATCAATTTCTGTTTCCTACCTGAAATGAAACCAAATGATGCACTTCATCGTGTTATCATATAGATGTCAGGATTCCAGCAATTACTCTAATTAAATCATGATTCTCGGGCCAACCTTCAAAAAACTTCAAAGGATTCATTAGAGGTGACATACTGGTACTACCCTGTATGAAGCCAACTCTGGCATACCTAATGTACAGTCACCTCTGACCCTGTTTTCCCCCTCCACCAAGTGTCTCATAAATCAGATTCTCCAATTGAACACGTTCACAGGCTGGGTGTCATCATTCAGTTCTCCAATTAAATATATTCATGGGCAAAAACTCTGGTATTTTAGTTACGATCTTTTAAAGATAAGATTTGGAATGTACTTTTGCTTTTAACTGCTCCTTCCTCCTCCCCCCCCCTTTTTTTGGCAACTACTAAAACAGGCATAGGAATGTTTTATGAGTTGACAATTGACCTCATGGTTGCATAGTTGTTTTATGATGATTATTGCTAATTAGAAGTTGGAAGAGACTTTATCTTAAATTAAATACAGTACCAGAGGGAAACTACAGCTACTAGATTATTGTTTGGCTGGAGGCAAGTTAGTCAAGCTATCTACAATTTGTTCAAATTGGTGAACAGATCAGAAAAAATAATTAAGCCAAAAGCAATTGTCATGAACTGTAAGCAATTGGAACATTGTCGATGCAATTAAATATTCACTTGATACAAAAATAAATTGATAATGCTAAAGTAAAAAATTCAACAGTAAGAGAGACCGCATAAAAATGTAATTAATTTTTTTAAAAAAATGCATTATTTTGAACCTAATTTTCTGCTTTAGCCATTGATTTCTCAAGGTAGGAAGATCCCCTGAAGGCTTCCATATCAGTATACAAAATCTCTCTTGCTTATATCCCTACTATCATTGTTCTTCAGATTCTACAAATGTGAATCATTCTTCTGTTGCACAAAAATCTCCTTTCTATTTTGGCTGCTTACAGGAAAACGGCATTCCTCTGGCTTGTAGCTGCTCTACTCTTCTTCCCGTTTCTCTGAATCATGTTTATGAGCCACACTAAGGCACTCTGGTTGAGAGCTCTGTGTTTTTCATCTTTTTGCAGGGGCTGGCCCCTATTGCTTGCCAGGTTTATTAACAGTATGGGTGAACACCATTTCTGGAAGATGGGAGCAGACAGTGTCACCCACATATACCCAATCACAAATTCTCCACTTACAGAACTGCATTTTCCTACTGTTGAAAAGGCCGGCCATAAGACACTTTTTTTTAGTGCCATTGTAACTGTGAATGGTTGTAAGTCAAGGACTACCCTTATAAATAGTTAATAGCAATTTCACCAAGTTCCTCCAGTTTTCTAGAATTAGGTTGTTGATCAGGAGCCCCAGTTAATTCCTCCAAAAATTTGAAACTATGGAACATCAGAAGATGTATATTTTTAGGCCACACAGCTGCACGGGGTCAGGAAAATAAATGTTTTGAGTTTTAAGAGGTGATGAATGGGCAGCAACATATGGTTGCCCTCCATTGCTGCTCCCTTAATGCTTCCTTAATTCAAACATATATTTTCCTGAACCTATGTTGCTAGATTCAAGTCCAGGAAAAGGGCATTGTTTATATAGAAAATAACAAATAGCTACAAAATGGAGGCAACCATAATATAGAAATATAACTTTGACATCAAAAATAATCTTCCACCATGCATATTTAATTATGGTGCATTAGTCTTCATTGATTTATGAAAGATGCCGTATTCAAACAATATTGTCATATTTTATTAAGGTGTTTTCATTATTCAAAAATATAGTATGGATTCAAACTGAATTTTCCTTGGGCAAGACTCTGAGCCTAATGGGGTTACTATTATAAATAATATAACAATACTATTAGAAATGATCTTATTTCATTCAAGCAGAAATTACATTTTAGTTACTTTAACATTTCAAATAGAATTCTAAATAATTGTTTTATACTTTAATCTATCAGCATGAATAGTATGTCTTTTCTTCGGTCTTTGAAACCAGTTCTCTTTTTTTGTCAGCTGAGTTTAGAAAATTAAGTGTGAATGCAATATTTTTGTCATTTGCTTGACATGGCAAAACTTCAATGGTTTAAAATTACCTGTATGAATTGTCTTAGGAAGTGTTACAGCTTTAAATCCACTGCTTCAACCTTTCCTAATTCCTTTTAGGTAGTGAAGACTATAGGTTTGCGCGAAGTATGGTACTTTGGTCTTCAATATATGGATAATAAAGGTTTCCCAACCTGGCTGAAGCTTGAGAAAAAGGTAATGAAATAAGCTATTTTTGATTGTTAAAGGTCCAAACATAGGTTTGCACTATTTAATTATAATCAGTTCTATCTAAATCTTTAAATCAAATCACAGTCATCTCAGTGAAAAATAACATATCTATTATTTGCTGTCATCATTGTTCTCTATTACTGTTTTATTTGCGTTTAAATCTTTAAAATAATCCTGCAAAGCAAAGCAAAAGCAGTGCAAAAATTACAATTTATTAATATACAAGCAAGCAGGTAGATGATAATGACAGTGAAATCCTGCTTAACTGGACAAAAAGTCCAGTTAAGCAGGATTCTGGTAATGGTTATCACTCACCCACTTTCTTCGAGGATTTTTTCCCCCTAAAGTAGCTAGCAGTAGCACTTATACTTACATACCTCTTCATAGTGCTTTACAGCCCTCTCTAAGCAGTTTACAGAGTCAACATATTGCCCCCAACAATATGGGTCCTCGTTTTACTGACTCGGAAGGATGGAGGGCTGAGTCAGCCTTGAGCCGGTCAGAATCAAACTGCTGGCAGTCAGCAGAATTATCCTGCAATATTGCATTTTAACCACTCTACCACCTCGGCTCTGAAATATTGTTGAAATAATGACCAGCAAAAACCAACAAGAAAGGGATATTTGTCAATTCCCTTACTCTTAGCCACTTTCTTTAAGATCCAGTGCTGCTAAATTAAAGCAATTTGTTGAGAAGTTTAGCCTTGGTTATTGATAAGAAGAGCTAATCACAGCTATGCATCTCATTTGAATAAGGGTACGTGCCCTTATAATTTAGAAAGAGGTACAGAAAGAGGTACATAGTTAATTCAGTGTGCTAGGACAATAGTAGTCTGCAATAGACTGTAGGGCAAGAAGCTATTTATGCCTTGAAGTATTCTTAACAGGCACAGCAGAACCATCTAAAGGAGATTTTGAGTACAACTAACATTTGGTGTTGTAACTGTCAGGTTTTTGATACCCTCTTGTATAGCCATTTCATTTTTTTAATTGTATAAATAAAGATTGTTGGCTGTCTGGTGGGGACCAGTGCGTTGGCCAACTGAGTGTACACTCACTGTATATGCATGCATACTGAGAATCTGAACACAGTTTAGTCTCAAAATTCCTTTAATCTTCTCATAATATGGACATTGTATTTATTTCAGTTAGCTCGGACTCTTGGTACATAATTTTCTAAATACTTTTCAAGACAAGTCAATCTGCCCAGAGTGGTCTGTTCTTATAGATACAGTGTGGAGACTAGTCAAGACATGGGTAATATAAGACATAATCCACACTGATTTAAAGAATTCTCTCAGAAAATTATTTTTCCACTGACCTATTTGTAATCATTCATAGGAGGTATAAACAGTATTAATATCTGTTAGGAAAAAAGGTGAAAATATAATCTGGTCCCACACTACTTAATAGATTAATTATTATTACCTTTATTGTCAGAGTGCAACATTTGTACAATGAGATTGGCTGAGGCTCCCTTTGTGCATCACCTCCCCAACACAACCCACAGTGAGGACAGAAGTCCCTAACCCAGTCCCAATCTCATAATATTATGTGACCTTGTTGCATAACGTGCCATCTCCGCAAGTCCATAATACTATATTGATATGAAGTTATTTTCCATTCAGAAATCTGACAGCCCACAGGTAGAAATTGTTCTTCAGCCTGTTGGTACGGCTGGCTATGCTACTAAATCTCCTGCCCGATGATAGGAGATTAAAACAGTATGATGGTATTGAAAAAATATATACAAAGTTTATATTAGTCTTTCACAAGTATTTCCAGTTTGTGCTCAGTTCATGCAAAGTAGAAGTTTCCGTCTCCCTCCCCTTAATTTTATAAAACTATATAGCTTTTGCAGGCAATTCAATTGAACTGACGATTGAAACAACTGTGTCAATTATCAGTGTTAATTTAGTAGATGCCGTTTAAAATGGCTAATCCTATATGCTTAACACATTTTTTTTGTGCATAGTAGGAATGCTGATGCACACAAAAAAATTTTTAAAGGGACTATATAAATCTGTAAACTTGGGTTATGTTGTGATACCAAGATAAAGTAAGTAGTTGCAGCAGCCAAGAACTCATAATCTAAATAATGTTTAAATAATAATGTTTAAATAGTAGAAATAATGTTTAAAATAGTTAACACCATTTTATTTTTCATATTGTAATCCGGATGTGTTATAATGATGGATAACTTTTCCCCAATGGGTCCTTGTTAAGCAAATAAACAAAGAACAAGCATGCTCTGGTTGACACATGGAGTGAACAAACATTAGGAAATGTCTTCAGCTTTCCTTACCCCAAAGCCAAATATATGAACAGCAGCATTTTTGGTTTTTCAAAAAGTCATTTTACTTCTGTTAAGTACTAAAGTGATTCCCTTTTCTTTAGTGCAAAAAGTTTTTTTGTGTAAGAGAGAGAAAGAGAGAGAGAGAATGTATGTTCATGCTCACTGAAAGTTAAACATCTCCTGATAGTGCAAACATCCTGAAAGATTGTTGTTCCTGTTTCTACACTTATTAAATCCTGATGTTTGCTGAGCTATAGGAAAAAAACAACCCAGAAATGTAGAGATTTCCTTGCTCAAACAACCCTTCCCCCCACGCATGCATGTAGCCATGTTATAATATGGCCCCTATTACCAATAAAGAATATTTGTAACTCAGGGTTGAAGTGAGGGGTTCTTGGTGCTCTCTGTGCATGGTTGTTCCCCTGCAGATGTTTCATTACCCAAACTAGGTAACATCATCAGGAGCACTGATGATGTTACCTGGTTTTGATAATGAAGTCTTCAAGAAAACAACCGAGTTCAGAGAGCACCAAGGATCCCTCATGACCTTCCTAATAGTTACTGAGCAACATTATTGATCAAGTCATGGGAAACAGAAAAGCAATTGAAATTGTTGTTTTAACACTGGTATTTTGGGGGCAGAATAGCTTTTTATACTTAAGTAGTGGCTGTTGTTTTTACAGATTTAAAATAAGTTGATTCTTTGGAGCTGGAGAAAATCAGACAAGTTCAAAATATGTAATAACTTGATAATAAAATGTTATTATTGATTGGAGTTGGGCAGCACCAAAATTGAATAAATAAATATCTTTGTGTTCAACAAGTTAGTATTTCATAATTTACCGATACTTATTGTTGCTCCTCTTGATTTATCTCTATTTAGGTGTCTGCTCAAGAAATCAGGAAAGAGAACCCTCTCCAATTCAAATTTCGGGCCAAATTTTTTCCTGAGGATGTTTCTGTAGAGTTGATCCAGGATATCACGCAGAAACTGTTCTTCTTGCAAGTGAAAGAAGGAATTCTTAGTGACGAGATCTATTGCCCACCTGAAACTGCTGTCCTTCTTGGATCTTATGCTGTGCAATCCAAATTTGGAGATTATAATAAAGACCTGCACAAGGCTGGATATCTCAGTTCTGAACGCCTGGTCCCCCAGCGGTAAGCACTTCTGTTGAAACCCTGAGGCCCAGCTCTCCCCAATTCTATTGAACGAACTTCCAGATGAGAATGTGGGATATGTAAAAGACACTAGAACAGATTTTGCAACCCTTACAGTTGATAGCCAATGTATGAAGAAGAGAGCGACACAATAAAATAAAAGGCTGAGATTTGTTTTTCAAAAACGTTGATAAAGCTAAAATACCAGTAATAGAAAAGAACTATAGTATGTTGTAATTTTCATGAGACTTAGCACAATTTAAGATTTTAAAAAATGTTTTAGAATATTAGGGATGCTCATTGCTTATGGGGTTCTAGTACTACACATAATAGTTAGCAACTAAAAATGGTAGTGAGGTTTTGAATCAATCGCTATCTCTCTTCCCAAACTACTTCAAAGGATGGTTGTTATAGGGAAAGTTAAAGGAATTATGTGTACCACTTTGAGGTCCTGAAGTAAAATGTGATCTAAACCTAATGAAAGTTGGAACAAATAAATGGGGAAATATTATCGACAGAGTGTCAGTTGAATAGGTCTATTATTTCTCAATTCACTTCCGTTTTCAGTTAACAAACTAATAAATTGCTGCTACTTAACACTGCTTTAAGACATCAGTTTGTGTCCATGGAACTCTTGACTACAAAATGAATGGGCCAGGGACCTTTGCAGACATTTGCACATCCTTAAAGAATAACGTTGTGGTAAAGCTGGAGTTTAATCATTAAAAGACTAGTGTTGGAACTTGATCAAGGTTCATCTTTTTTTAAAAAAATCTCAGAAAAGTGACTTTTTTTAACTTTAAATGTTTTGTGCCATCTTTTCCATATATCCGACTTTGCTAGCACATGACATTTTTGTAAATAAGACAAGTTGGACTTTAAATTTCAAGATATATCTTTATATTTTTAGAGTAATGGATCAACATAAGCTATCTAGAGAACAATGGGAAGAAAGAATTCAAGTATGGCATGCTGAACATGGTGGAATGCTTAAGTGAGTTATTTCATTGAATTTTTTATTGACTTTTAAAAATTTATCTTAATTATTTTCAAAGTGTCCAGTGTTTAATACTCGTATTCCAATCCACACCTTATATGAAATCTAAGTGCTAGAGAAGAAGATTTTTAAAGCAACACTTTCTTTGAAGTACATTTTGTTCTGCACTCATTATATTAAATTACTATTGATATGAATAAATATATCCAGCATGTATATACTGTGTAGGCAAAGCCAAGATGATTGAGTAGAGTTAGTGAAATAATATTGAACACACAATGGGGGAAAAACATAAAAATTGATAAATGGAGGAAAGGGTTAGTAAAGTGCTGATATTCTATAGGGAAGTGAGATAGTTCTTTTAGATCTTTTCTGTTATATCTAGTAGTCTGAGTATTTTATTTTCCCACATCTCAAAGCTCTGCATTAGTCTTTACAACAAGTCTTAACATTTCCCATTTTGTATTAACTAGAGAAAATGCCATGCTGGAATATTTGAAGATTGCTCAGGATCTCGAAATGTATGGAATCAACTATTTTGAAATAAAAAATAAGAAAGGAACAGACCTTTGGTTGGGAGTAGATGCACTTGGGCTCAACATTTATGAAAAGGAGGACAAGTAAGTGGAGATATTTGTAATCCTTTGTAAGACTAAAGAGCTGCTCTTGTGCCAAAGAATTATCTCATCCATGATGTGTACCTTTATAGCAATCATATCTGCTAAGGGCACCTTGCCTTTCAGAATATATGCTAAATAATATTGTGCCTGGGGTGCATATGACTTCAATGTCACCTGCCTTGTTTTATCTCTTAACTGCACTGTTTTCTCCTTAAATTCATATACAGGCATGTGGTTTCAGAAGGAGAGACAGGGGGCTAAATGGAATAATCATTGCATGGCTTATTATTATTATTATGTATCATACTTTAATGATAATTCTAGAAAAAAAATCAGAAGCCAAGTCCATTTTCAGTTGTCAAGTTTTGGACACCAACCATCTGCAGTATCTAGGGTTGAGTTATGAACCAAAGGATAATGTAGACAATCCATGACCCATTGGCACATTTTGCTTTCCATATATAATATAAGCTTGTGGTGATAAGTTTCCCTCATGAATTTCAGAAGAGCTGTAGTGAAACTATTTCCTCCACCACCTCAGCTGACCAATAGAACTTCTGAGTCACTCATTCCTCCCTTACCGGCCACCACTGTTGAAGAGTTTTCAGATTTCAGCCTCAGTTCCAAAGCAATCTGTCAGTCCTTATTCTCAACCAATTGGAAACAGGGGGTCAAAGGGAGATGGGGGAGTGAAGATAAAGTCCTCCCATTTTTCCTTATGCCAAATAACTTAAAGGTTTCTGGGAAGTGTAGTCAAAAGGCATGCTGCTGAATTCAGCCACAACTCTGCCAAATTTTAATTCCTTGGGTGTCATGGGTCCCAGTTTTTGGATGTATTCTGTAAATTAGCCGATTTGAGATATGTTGATTCAAAATTGTTGCCCTATGATGTGTTGTGTCATCAGATTGAAGATTACAAAGTATCAACCAGATACGTATGTTATAGTCTTAATAGCCTGTTCTGTATTGTATGTGTATGTATTACACAATTAGGAAAGAGGAGTGCACATTTTGCCTGTGGAAAGCCTCAGATTCAATCCCTGTCATCTTTAGTTAAGGCGAAGGGAATCTCTGTTTCGAGAGCTGTGGTTCATTAAAGTAACCAAGTCTGAGCAGAATATATTGACAGTATCACTACCATGTAGGGAGCCTTGCTTAATCATCCAGGATTCTCCCTCAGCTTTCTCCCCAATGGAGAACTTCCATTATGCTCAGTTGAGAGCTTTTTATAATCACTTATTCCTTGCTAGGAGCCATTAGTGTGAAATGATTCTTAGCCAACAGGTTGGCTTTTATCTGGAAATTGCTCAGGTAAACTTAAGTTAAATTCTTGGAATACACGATTGACAATTTTCGTTATTTTAAGTCAGTAGCTCTAGGGTTCTTTATTAAGGAAGAGATTTGAAGAAACAGCATAGTGATGATCTAGAAATGAGAGAGAAGAAATTGAAATATAACAATTGAATGTAAAAAGGAATGGTTCCTTTTCACGTAATACTTGTTCAATACAACAAGGATGTGCAAAATTAACTTGAGCTTACTTTTGAAGCATAGTAGATTATTTATAAATAGTAACTTGTCTTTGTTTCCAAGGCACATTTTAAGCCATGTAAACATTCAAACAGGAGAAATTGTCTGCAAACATTGAAAAAAGGCTACATGCTAAGTCTTTCTTGACGTTTTTAATCAAAATTATACCAAGATCACTGAAGAAAGGGTTTTTTTCCTAGCAACCTTATCACATCTAGAAAATAAGGAGTGTCACTCTTAAGGATTGCATGAGTGAAACTACTTCTAAATTCTTGAATGACAGGTCTCTTTGTGTAGCCACAGTCATTCAAACTGGTTTTACAAGCTATATAAAGCCTGCAAGAGGAAACATTTGCTTCTAAAGAAAAATCTGGGGAGGGGGGATGTGCACAGAAAATTAAGCATTGCACATCTAATGATTCGTAATAGAATCTCCATGATATGGAAGTTAACTTGTTACATCCTCCTTATTTTTTTAAATACATACTTGAATGCATAGAAATTGCTGGGGGATGGAATATGGTAAGGCACACCTATGGCTAACACTGAGTTTAGCATATAAATAACAGCACTTCTATTCTTCATTATGAAAACTACCTTTGGATTCCAGCACTTAATTACTGCATCAGTATCTTTAAAACAGTAGCCTGTATTAGTTGAGAAGCATTAAGACACAATGCTCCATGTTGAGGTATTACCCGTTAGGAGAATGAGTACACTCAGGGAAACGTAGTGAGAGTGGTGTTGAATAACACACTACCAGCATACAGATACACTGAATAGTAAAATGTAGGTTTTACTTCCATTAAACAGGTAAACAAAGTCCAACAAACAGTCCAAATCATACACAGTTAAAACAGGTAGTATTCAATGCAATCAGTCTAGGGATAATCCAAAAACGAAGTCCAATATCATAAACAAAATTCAGTAAACGGAATTTGCTAACAGTTTGCAAGACTCACAGCAATTCCAGCAGAACGACGATCAGGCAAAAGGCAATAGGGAAATGCAAGAAGAGAACAAACCAGGTTTCTGGCTCCATCTTATGGCCGTTGGAGAAACCTCAGCCAATCACAATTACAGCATTCTCTTAAAGATACAACAGTATTAAATAGCTATCCTGGTTTATATATTGCCAACCCAACTGTTAGGTGACTATCATTCCTAACCCTCCAGTTATAATATTCTGTTTGAGTTATATACTTGTGTGTTTCTTTGTATGAGGAGGATTATCTTTGCTCAGATTTTAAATTCTTACGTGAGCCCTGCTCTAACTATAACATGGATCTCTACCAAATAAAATTTACCTACATGTTGTAAAGGAGATTTAAATGGATGAAACTTTTATTTTGTCTCTGTGAGATGGCAGTGTTCCACTTTAAAACTGTGATGTAAATAGGAATAGAGGAATTAGAACTATAATGGTACAAAGAGAGAGAGAGGAGAAAGAGAGATACTTTGAAATAATATTTTTCTCAATCCCTGCAATTTGATGCTAAAGAGAAAGGGATGGGCAGTCATGTAGCTTCTCTACTCAAAAATGCTATTTATTAGCATATACACTAACTAAGTCAGGTACAAAATGGCATTTTGTGAAACTAGTATTGTCATGATGTCTTTTTGACCACATTAAACCCAGTAATCTGTCTTTTTTTTTTTTGGCTTGGTATCCTTCCTGTAAAAGCTATGTTCTGATGTTTGTGAAGGTTGAAATAACTTTTGTTAGATGCCAACTGTTCAACTTATTGCAAAAGCTAGAACCAGATCTATTTTACTCCCAGCTCTGCTATAGAGGCCTCATGAAATAGGGGGGTAGCTTCAGCTCACAGTACAGGTAATCCTTGACTTATGTCCATTTGTTAAATGACAGTTGGAAGTTACAATGGCCTTGGAAAATGTGATATACCCATCCTCAAATTGATTACCGTTACAAAAACTCCCACAGCCACATGGTTGCAATTCAAGCACTTGGCAACCAGCTTGCATTTACCATGATTCAGTGTCTTGGGGTCACATGATCACAATTTCAAACTTTGCTTCTGACAAACGAAGTCAATTGGAGAAACCAGGTTTCTTTAATAACTGCATGATTCACTTAATGACTATGTGATTTGCTTAACAATCATAGTAAAATATTATAAAATTAAGTCCCATCACTTGGTGATTTGCTTAGTGACCAAAATTCCAGTAGTTGTGGTTGTAAACCAGATTAAGCCAGATTTCTTGGTTTGAATTGTAGATTGTTTCCTTATCTGTATCTGCTTTGTTGTTTCCAGGTTAACCCCTAAAATTGGCTTCCCCTGGAGTGAAATCAGAAATATTTCTTTCAATGATAAGAAGTTTGTTATAAAACCAATTGACAAGAAATCACCAGTGAGTATAACTGATTATTAGAGTTGCTCCTGATGAAAGACAATAGTGGTTATTTAAGGCCCCACCTGTTAATTTACATAAATCTTAGAATGAAATTGCATGCCCATTCAGTAGTTGAATTATATAGGAAACTGGTTTCTATAAAATAAATATGGTTAATGGTTAAAATTGCATCAACATAATGAGGAATGCTCCCTTCTCTTCATCACGTCCACATCAATATGTTAGAATGTTTGTTGAATCACTTTATTGTATTTATTGAATATTAATGTTATAGACATCACTCTCTTTCTCTTCTCTTGAGTAAAATTGGAGTCTTAAAAGGATAACTTGTAAAAAAAATAGGAATATTTCCTTATTCAGTAACATCTTCTATCATTGCGTTGTAGAATTTTAATTTTCCAGATAAATTTTGAAATAATCTTTCTATAAATCTTTTTTAAGAAGTTGGCATATTGAAAAATATGTTTTTGTTTTGCTTTCTTTTATAATATAAATAGGTCTTAGCAGAAACTGCTTCAGTTTCAGAACAACTTCCTCTTTTAAATATTTGAATAGTTGAAATTATTCTTTTCATGTAAAGAGAAAATTCAGTCATGTAGCCATTAACCATATTGAAATTTTGTATTCCAAATATTCACTGGATAACCCTGAGTAACTTTATTGTGTTCTTTTTCTTAATGTTAGCCTCATTTTCTCTTTTCACTATTTCATAATTTTCTTTCTGTCTTTGTTCCATCCTGCAAATGTACTTGCTCTCTTATACTTGGCTATTAAGAACTTAGGGACAGAAATTTTGAATTTGGATGATTTCCATACTGTTACTAACCCATGCACAAAGCACAATGAATATCAAGAACAAGTACAAAAAATGGAAAGAAGGACATACAACTAAGGCAGAATATCAGCAGATAGCCAGAATCTGCAAAGATGAAGTCAGGAAAGCAAAAGCTCAGAATGAAGACTTGGAACAAAAGTCAAAGATAATAAAAAAAAGTTTCTTCCAACATATAAATAACAAGGAAAAAATCAAGGAAACAGTTGGTCCACTAAAGAGAGAAGACGGCTAGGAAATAACAGGCAACAGAGAGAAAGCAGAACTGCTTAACTCATTCTTTGCATCGGTCTTCATGCAAAAAGAAACTAGCTCAACCCACCAAAAACATAACTGTAAAAGACAGACCAGAAATAAAAGTTGAAATAAGCAAAAAAAATAGTAAGAGAACACATGTCTGATCTTGATGAACACAAATCACCAGGGCCTGATGGATTACATCCCAGAGTTTTAAAGGAGCTGGCAGAGGTCATCTCAGAACCACTGCACCATATGTTTCAAAAATCCTGGCGTACCAGGGAACTACCAGAGGACTGGAAAAGAGCTAATGTGGTTCTCATCTTCAAAAAAGGGGGGAAAAAAGACCCAGGAAACTATAGACCAATCAGCCTAACATCAATGCCTCAGAAGAAAAGATAATTAAAAAAAACAGACCTGCCAACATCTAGAGACAAGTAAAATAATAACTAGCAGTTAGCATGGGTTTGTTAAGAACAGATCATGCCAAACCAATCTTATTTCATTCTTCAACACAGTGACTAAATTAGTAGACCAACAAAATACTGTGGACATAAGATTTCAGCAAGGCATTTGACAAAGAAGACCACAACCTACTTCTTAGTAAGCTAGAAAAAAATGGAATAGATAGCATCACCACTAGATGGACTCACAACTGGCTGACATACCATACTCAATGAGTAGTCCTTAATGGATCTCAGTCTACATGGAGGGAAGCAAGCAGTGGGTGCCACAAGGTTCCGTCTTAGGCCCAGTACTCTTCAATATCTTCATTAACGACTTAGATGAGGGAATAGAAGGGGAACTTACCAAATTTGCAGATGATAGTAAGCTGGCAGGAATAGCTAAGACCCAAGAAAATAGGCCCAAGATTCAGATGGATCTTGACAGACTAGAACACTGGGCCATATCTAATAAAATGAAATTCAATATAGAGAAAAGTAAAGTCCTACACTTAGGCAAGAAAAACCAAAAGTACACATATAGACTGGGTGAAACCAGTCTCAATAGCAGTAACTGTGAGAGGGATCTTGGAGTCTTAGTGGACAACCAGCTAAATATGAGCCAGCAGTGTGCAGCAGCAGCCAAAAAAGCTAATGCAATCCTAAATTGTATTAACAGGGATACAGTCAAGAACAAGGGAAATACTAATACCACTCTATAAAGCCTTAGTAAGACCATACCTAGAGTACTGCATCCAGTTTTGGTCACCACATTATAAAAAAGATGTTGAGGTTCTAGAAAATACAGAGAAGAGCAACCAGGATGATTAGGAGACTGGAGGCTAAAACATACAATGAACGGTTGCAGGAACTGGGCTTGGCTAGTCTAGTAAAGAGAAGGACCGGGGAAACATGATACGGTCTTCCAATATTTGAGTGGCTGCCACAGGGAGGAAGGGGTCAAGCTATTTTCTAAAGCGCTTGTAGGCCAGACAAGGAATAATGGATGGAAGCTGAACAAGGAGAGATTTAATCTGGAAATAAGGAGAAACTTTCTGACAGAACAATCAACCAATGGAACAGCTTGCCCTCGGAAGTTGTGGGAGCGCCATCACTTGAGACCTTCAAGAAGAGATTGGACTGCCATTTGTCAGAAATGGTGTAGGGTCTCCCGCTTCGGCGGCGGGTTGGACTAGATGAACTATAAGGTCCCTTCCAACTCTGATTACCTGTTATTTGTCATAGAAGAGGCTGTTAGAGAAGTATTGTTATAGCAGTTATGAAATTGGTCATACTCAGAAATTATTAATGTATTTTTAGTGCTGAAATTAGCAATCATAGGCCAGTCACGGGAGAAGATCTAATCCCTATATGATTAAGCAGGTTAATCTGTTACTACTTGGTTTTTCCATTACAAAGAACTAAGGAGCAAGTGAAAGGTTTAACACAAAAACTATAAAGTAGGGCACTGCAAGTCTGAGTGTGCATGTGTATCTTTTTAACCTTTTCATCTCTTCTTGCCAGGACTTTATATTTTATGCTCCTCGCCTAAGAATCAACAAGAGAATCCTGCAGCTGTGCATGGGAAATCATGAGCTGTATATGCGCCGTAGGAAACCTGATACCATTGAGGTCCAGCAAATGAAAGCCCAGGCCCGTGAAGAGAAGCACCAGAAAGAGCTAGAAAGGTGTGTGCAGGAGTATAGGAACTACAACATGGCCTCCTACGTTAAGTGTGATCATTCTGCAGTAGATATGTTGATAGCCTTACCATACTGTAGCCTACATGGCAATTATAGGGATACCAGAAATTAACCTAGAGTGAGTATAGATTGGTAAGGGGTTGACTTGCTTGAGATCTTTAGATCCTCTTTACGTCCTTCATGATTCCTTAATAGAAAAGTTTAGGTCACCAATCATGAGTGACTAGAAATGCAGTCATTCCATAATAAGTACTACTCTTGGTTTAAACAAATGTTCAGATACGTGCACATTGTTTTGTCCTGGTTATTATGAAAAAAATAAAAAGTGTGGTAAAATGTTTCCTAGTCTGCTCCAGTGTTAGAACTAATTTAATTTTATATCTGAAGAGAGATGTTGGAAAATGAGAAGAAGAAAAGAGAGACAATTGAGAAGGAAAAAGAGCAGATGATGAAAGAGAAAGAAGAGCTGATGATGAGGCTGCAGGAGTATGAAGTCAAGACACAGAGAGCAGAAAGAGGTACTACTTGCATTTTGTTGCCGAAACCCACATCCATCTTTCTATGTTCCCCACTTCTGATCCAATAAGCAGTGTCTTTAATGAGCAATAGTGTTGTAAAATGTCATGGTGTACCATGGATTGAGTTTCCTAATTAATAGAAATGTCCTTCTGGGAGGAGAAGAATCTCACCCTAATGAGCTTCCAGAACTTTTTTCTGAGAAAGACTCCCTCAAAGAGAGCTGTGAGCAGGAGGAGCCTGCAATAACATGGAATCATGGTGTGCTGTTACCATCAGGCTCTGATGTTAGGTAGCGCTGCTGCATAGTTCCAAAGTATCAGCCTCCTACGTTAATAGTTTGGTTGACCAAAAAATTAACCATTGAAGTAATGTTTGTGTAGTGTCAAGTGCAATGAAACCAGAAGTAATCATCACTGATTATCTTAGCAGGTACGTGATTTGGACAGAGTTGGTCTAATAGATATAGATAGAAATAATCACATATGATTATAAAACCCAAATGGATGACATCTGCCTTTAATCTATAACTTGCTCACAACATGGACACATCCTTGTTGGTTTCTTGGCCACAAAGCAAAGGTGATTTTCCTCTGCTTGCTTCTAAGGTGTCCAAAAGGTGCTTTTTTCCAAAACCAACTGGACTTTCTGCGTGCTAGAATCTAGGATTTTTTTCTTTGAAAATGTTTTGCTTCTCTCGAAGAAGCTTTTTCAGTTCATGAAAAAAAACACCTTTAGGACAACCATGACCTGAATAATTGAGAGTAGACATTCCTTCTAAGATGTTTTCCAGTCTTCTACCTCAGTCAACAGCCTGAGGACTTCCTGCAAGTCAGCCAGTGCTGTCATCTCTGGTGACTAAAGCTGTAACTATTTAACTTCAAAGAATATCTTGCACATAAACAAGCACCAGCATTCCAAAAGCATAAATGTATGGAAGTCAGAAGTCTCAGTTGCATGTCATACTTAGCCATAAAATGATATGGTGAAAGGAACTTCTCTAAATCTCTGCAAATACTACAGGTAATCCTCGACTTACAACCACAATTGATCCCAAAATTCATGTCACTAAGAGATAAAAGTTGTTACATGAGTTTTGCCCCATTTTACAACTTTTCCTGCCACACTTGTTCACTGAATAACTACAGTTGTTAAATTAGTAACACGGTCGTTAAGTGAATCTGGTTTCTCCATTGACTTTGCTTGTCAGAAGGTTGCAAAAGCTGATCACATAGCCCCATAACACCGCAGCGGTTATAAATGTGAGTCAGTTGTCAAGCATCCAAATATCAATCTGCTGCGATGGTCATAAGTGTAAAAATTGGTCATAAGTCTTTTTTCAGTGCTGTTGTAACTTCAGTCATTAACCAAACTGTTGTAAATCAAGGACTACCTGTACTACCTTCTCCCACAAGAAGCCAGACTGATGCAATTTCCAAAGAGTGGGTTTTTTTTTTAAAAAAATCAGCATTTAAAATATATGTGACTGTTCCCCCCCCCCCCTTATCCCCCCAGAGCTCTCAGACCAGATCGAAAAAGCCAGGCAGCTGGAGGAGGAAAGAACCAGAGCCCAGGAGGAAGCAGAGCGTCTGGAGAACGAGCGTTTGATGGCTCTGCAAGCTAAGGAAGAACTGGAAAAGCAGGCTGTTGACCAGATGAAGAGTCAGGAGCAGCTGGTATGGATCGGAGGCATTCCAGAAGGAAACTTGAAAAATTGATATGAATCTTAGCAAAATAGTTGGGCTAAGCTCCTCTCCTCAAGCATCATCAGTGGTTATATAGCTTTTTAAATCTTGCCTTTGGTTCTCAAAGCCTTCACGGCAACCTACGGTGTGTTTTCAAAGTAATTTTAAAACATGTGGTCAGAGTGCAGTACTGCAGGCTACTTCTGCTGACTGTTGGCTGCCTGCAATTTGGCAGTTCAAATCCCACCAGGTCAAGGTTGACTCAGCCTTCCATCCTTCTGAGATGGGTAAAATGAAGAGCCAAAATTGTTGAGGGCAATATGCTGACTCTATAAACTGCTGAGGGCTGGAAAGCACTATGAAGCTGTTTATATAAGTCTTAGGTGATTTGCTATTGCTAAAATGGATACAGTACAGAAAATGGACCACACAAGCCAAGTTTTTCCTGAATCAATGACAAAAATAAAATTTAAGGACACACCTGTTTTTACAGAACAGGGATTTCTACAATCTGGTGCTGCTATAGAGAAAGTGGTTGAGCTGCATTTGAGCTAGAAATGAATTGCAGGGGTCAAAGATTCCTTATAGAAAGAAATTGTCTTTTAATGTTCTAACTTGCAGCCAGAAATAAAGTAGCTATTGTTGATACTGCAGGAATAGACTAATGGGTTTCTTATAGTTGGCACTAGCAAATTTTCTTCAGGCGATATTTAATAAAATTTGTGAAAGTTCTCTTAAGGCCAACTTAATAAAGTTGGATGATAGTTATCTATCCTTAGCATAACTAAAGTTTGCCCACCTATATTTTACTTTTTTGTAGCTGCTCCTATGTCATTTTCTGACCCAAGAACAGACTCTGAATGTCCGACCCCATCCAAAATCGGAGGCTCTAGGAATAGGGAGCAGTTCTCTTACTGATCCATAGTACTTCTATTTCATGTAATTTCTTTTTTCCCCTCTCAAAAAAGGCTACAGAACTTGCAGAATACACAGCCAGAATTGCTCTTCTGGAAGAGGCAAGGAAGCGTAAAGAGTCTGAGGTTGAAGAATGGCAGCACAGGGTAAGCTAATGTGTTCCACTCTGCTTTACCTTTAGGGTTTTAGCAACTTTAGGTCTTCCTTGGATCTTGATTACAATATGATTCATTGGAAATATACTGTATATCATACAGTCTATTGTCCTATAAAGAATATAAGATGAGCCACACTGCATCAGAACTGACAATTCATATTTGCTTTCCACAACGACCAACAGGATGCTTCCAGAAAGCTCATAAAGAGTGTGTGAATTGAGTGTTATAGCACTGGCCTGCTATTTAAGAAAAAACAAGTATTTTTTATTCAAACTAGGAGTATTTCTATTACAAGAAAGATCCAAATAAAATTCAAAACCTGCTTTGACTTTTCTAACATTCCCTTTGCAAGCTGCATGATCCTTCTATCATTCTTTTTGATAGGGCATAACGGAATGGAAGTAGTAGTATACATAAAAACCCAATATTTTGCAAATTGTCTGAATTCCATTCTATCATTGCAAGATAATCTGTTTTTCTGAAATTCAAATATGTAACTATTTTGGCCATGAAAATTGGCAAAATTTTCATAAGCAATTGTCAGGTTTTGATTGACTCTGAGCTTGTTGATCAGAAAGGTCAGCAGTTCAGTGGTTCGAATCCCTAGCACCGCATAATGGAGTGAGCTCCTCTTACTTGTCCCAGCTTCTGCCACCTAGCAGCTCAAAAGTATGTAATAATGCAAGTAGAAAAGTAGGGACTGCTTTGGTGGGAAGGTAACAGTGTTCCGTGCACCTTCAGTGTTTAGTCATGCCGGCCACATGACCAGCACTGGCTCTTCGGCTTTGTAACGGAGATGAGCACCACCCCCTAGAGCCGGAAACAATTAACACATATGTGTGAGGGGAACCGTTACCTTTACCTTAATGTAACATTTAAATTGTTTTTTTCTCAGATAGATAATAATAAGACCTCATTCTATCTGCAGCAACATCAGTAAAATTCAAAACAAATTTATCACTGTTAAGTTAAAACAAAAATGTCTAGACAAGATCTCAAAAATTATTATTTCCTTTCCAGGTTCATTACAAATGGAATTGCAATTGATAATTTTGCAACATTAGTAACCATCATTGACGCACTCTGTATAATTGTTTGCTTAAAATAGCTTTGAAAAGTTTGTGATCAGGCTGTACTGAAACTTCTTCTCCATAAAAGAAAGCAATTAACACTTATTAACTGCTTCTTGTACTAATATCCACCGAAATCCCATTTCCTGTAACAACAATTGCCTTAATGGAATTGTCCCAATAGTCATTCCTGGGGGAAAAAATTGGCCATATTGGAAAAATGCTGTTCATTAATTTTCTTCTTGATGTTTTAACAACGGCTTCAATCTTTGTTTTTGACAGGTTTCTTGTAATTAGAGGTTAGCAGATGTCCTAAGTACTTTACCTCAGTTCAAATTAACACAAGATTTAAACCAGTTACTGCTTCTAATTCTGAACAATTTTATACAGGCTATAAACCTAGTACTTATGAATTTTAAACAGTACAGTTTTACAACATTAGTAACTAAACAAACAGCGCATTCAACTTCTAAACCTTCCATTTTAATCAGTCCATTACAAAGTTCTGAAGAAGGTTCTTCCTCATATGATATACAGTACATAATGTTTTAGTTTTACCTTTTTTTGTTCTTAGTCCTTCACTTTTTATAAAAGATTCAGCCACCCACATTGTCTGCATTCTTTTCCAACCATTGCCCATGCACCTTTGAGAAAACTCTGTATCTCAGACATGGGTGCTTCCAATCTTTGGTCTTTGGCATTACAACTGATGACTGAGGTTTAAGGCTTTCTCATTGCTTCTCAAAATAACCAGTTCCTTATCAGTATGCCCAAGGTCTTTTAAGTGAGTTACAGCCTGCTCCTCAGCTCTACAAACATCAACAGCATGTTCCAGTGCTAAATCATCTGTCCCTAAACAATCTGAGTCTTACTCTTTCATGTCTTATTCCATATAATCACGTAACTGTCCCAATCAAGACTGCATTAAAAGATTTAATTATGCTACATAGGCCTCTCTGTTTTATTGTAAAAAAATGCGTTCCTCCCTTATGTAATGTCCTTGCTTAATACATAGCAAGTTTCAGATTTCTCAACACCTGCAACTTCTGCTTATTAAACTTCTCTTCAAATTAGAATATATTAAATATGTCTGTTGTCTCCTCCCCATCAAGCTGAAACAAGACTGCTTGTAATTTCTTATTATTTTTATTAGCCCCACTTGCCACAATAAAGTTCAACCCTACGTTTCCATCTTCTCCAAAATTGCAACAAAACCTAAACCTAGAGGCTGTTGATTACACCTGCACCACACTCAAAGCTTCTCAGTTGACTTCTAAGTCTATATTATGTTTACATAAGAGACATAAATAATAAGAAAGACAAATTTAGTACACAGCTAGGCTTTATTGATAACTTGCAGGTTACGTCAGTGATAGAGAGCCATTCATGCAGAGATGGTTCTTTTGTTCCACTAATATTCTTCTTGCAAGTAATGCATTACAACATATAGCTATACCAACTTGTGTTTTCCAAATAATATATTCAAAAGCATATTGCGTCTAGTAGTATAAGTATTGCATAGCCATTGTGACTGGATTAGTAACACTTGATAGCTTTATTCCTCACAGGTTTGAAAGCCTTTTAAAACATTCAGCTTTATGGAAGTAATTTACTCTATTTTGAGATAGAGATTCCATAGTTAAATATGTCGAAGCTTCGGGAACAGCTTCTCATCAAACAGCTGGTCAGCTGGCTATACAATTGAGCCATGTAACATAATTTAGGGGAGCACAAATCCCATTTGTCGATATGAATGGATAGAAAAGTGCATCTGAGCCAGAAAGAGAGTCAGGAACATAGTCATTGGGAAAAGTGAATGGAAGCATGGTTGAAAATTTAGTTATTCATTGATTGAATTATCATAAATCTGTATATTTTAAGATTATTTCGGGAACACACAAATGTCATCAGATCTCATCTATTTTCTAAATAACATTACCACTGGAAACATATTCTTGGTTTCCCTTTTCTAGGCTAAAGAAGCCCAAGATGATCTGGTGAAAACAAAAGAAGAATTACACCTGGTAATGACTGCTCCACCTCCTCCGCCTCCACCTGTATATGAACCAGTGAACTATCATGTCCATGATAATCTTCAAGATGAAGGAACTGAGTCCTCTGGCTACAGTGCAGAATTCTCGAGTGAAGGCATACTGAACGATCGTAATGAAGAAAAGCGAATTACTGAAGCCGAAAAGAATGAGCGTGTCCAAAGACAGCTGAAGGTAGGATTTACCACATAATCTGTTAACAATATAAAACATTTATTATCATTCTAAGTACCATTTTATAATTTTCTCAAGAAGGGAGAAAGATGGTAATTGAAATGTATCTTTTTTTCAAAGGCTTAAGAAAGCTATCATATTTTATGGAGAAAGAAGATAATAATGTAGGATATAATCTAAAAATCTTTGCTACCATGTATCTTATAGTGGAAGGTAGCAATGACTTGGCAAATTTAAATGATCCAGATCTTGCATCTTCTTCTAATGCTAACCATTATAGGCTCTTAGACATGACTATGCTTATGACCATAGAACGATATGTACAAAACTCACCCTCAGATAGCATTTGCAGAATTTCCATGTTAGTTTTTTGTTTTCCTCATAATGTCAGTTTCACAAATTTATTCTTTGTGCAAGGGTGTAATACTGTGTTTAAATATTGTAGACGCTGACTGATGAACTAGCTCAGGCCAGAGATGAAGACATGAAGACTCAGAACGACCTCATCCACACAGAGAACATGCGACAAGGCCGAGACAAGTACAAGACACTGAGACAGATACGACAAGGGAACACCAAGCAGAGAATTGATGAATTTGAAGCTATGTAAATGTACTTTCAATGAAGACTCTGGGAAATGCAGATTTTGAATGTTGACGTTTCTTCATGAAAGGTCACTTGCAAAGTCATACTAGTAAATAAAGAAATAAACTCCCACACTGTCAGATGTCTGCTGAATTTAATAAAAACAGCCACCAGGATTTAAGTATACTAAGGAGAACAGTCACAGAGATGTAGTAAAAATCTTACTAATATTGTGTCAAAGTACTAATGTCAAAGGGTGTCTCAGAGTCACTTTTTTTCTACATGTTAAAATATTTTTTTCAGCTTTAATAGAGGGCTTTTTACTACTACAAGTATATCCAGATTTGTTTGGAGTGTGGGAAGATGTGCCATGTTTCTTGTTCTTAAATACCCATTGTATTTGAAGATTGTGATGTTCTTAAGTCACAAGTCATTCCTCAATCTCACTTCCTCTTGTTATTGCTGTAAAAGTGTCACAAAAGGACTCTAAAAAAAAATCCTTTCATCTTGAATTGGAGAGGCTCCCTGTGATCTCTCAGAGGGAATGCATGATAGGCACTCTTGGATGCCTCTCTTATATTACAGATAGAGGGAAATTGTCGGTGTTCAATATTATACAAGTGTTGAACTGCAGCTTAACCAGTCAGCTGTAGTATCATATTTATATTATATATATATATATATATATACAGACGAACACAATACAGAAGCCTGATGATGGCAGATGAGATTCTGCCGAAACGTTGCTACAACTTTAAAAGCACAACTGAATACCATACATACATACACACACACACACACACACACACACACACACACACACGAGTTAAAGATATAAGTAGCATATAATTCTAGTTTGAAAAGGGTATTTTTGCTTTGTATATTTTGTTATTTCTTGTTAAACGAATGATATTTGGGGGGGGGCAAAATCTAATCTTGGGTGAGGCACAATCTAGAAAACATTTGTAAAGATGATTTTTTTTTTACTTGAAAGAAAATTGTAAAGCATGCCTGTTATTCAATACAAATAATTTCACTATTCCTATTTTTTTCTAGCAAATTTTCTAATTTTAAAAAAATGGTACCGTTTCAGACTCCAGCCATGAAGGGACTTTTATCAGCGTTTTAAAATGTCTCTGTTGAAGAGAGTTGCTATGGATTTGCCTCGGTATCCCCTTGTTATCCCCTATTTGACCACCATCACTTCCCAGCCTCCCCCCCCCCCCGCCAATCCCATTTTTGGCTTTGGAAACCCCCATTGTCAAGAGTACAGTATGTGGCTAATCCTACTTTACATACAATTTCCTATGCTGCTTTGTATTTTGAAGTTTATACCTCTGGAATCCTGATATAATGTGGTGGGATGATTTGTTGAATGCACTTGACCCATAAATAAAAATCTGCAAGGCAACATTTTTTTCTCTTAAATTTCTCCATTTCTTGTTTCTGAAAAACTATGAAGCAACCCATTTGTTCAAGCGACGGCATATTAATAATAAAACAAAGTAAAATAATTATGGAAGAAATTATGACACTGAAGATAAACTTTTAATTAAGTTCAATATGTAAATTAGTAACACAGAACAGCAAAACCAGATGCCAGGTAGAAATTAAGTTAATAACTATGAGCTTTAACCAGCGCTAAAGTTTCTAAATAGTGTGACCCATGTTTAGCCTTAATCATAGTCTAGCTGACTCTAGCAACTGAACCAGCTGATTACTGAACAGAACTGATGTAAACAATAGGAATGGCAGCTGCCATTACCCCTCTATTGTCAAGGTAAGATAGCCAGCACGTCCGAGGAAGGGTGGGTTTTTTTAAAAAAAAATTGCTTTCCTCTTTTCTGCAAAGAACAAAGTCTGCAATAGCCTGATCACAGCCACCACACCCAGAAGTCTGAAAGGCTTATTGTTTGTTTCCCAGGAAAGATGCCCCTATTTGTGGGTGACAAAAAAAATCAAAATGGAATGAAAGAACTGGTGGCTTCTGCATTCCATGTTATTGTCTTGAAAGTCTACCCTGTTTCTCCAACAATATGGCCTCCCCCAATAGGAAGTCCCAGCATGTGTTATAGGCATGAAATGAAATTAAGCCCCTCCCCCCAAATTAAGGCCTATATTAAAACATGCAAAATGGTGGGAATGATGGGGGGGCTTGCCATTAGGAAGTACTTTTGTTGCACACCTGGATATGGTGCTGCCTGCGTTGACCCCGATACAAAGTGCCCCACCATTGGCGAGGTCAACATCCAAGCCGTTGCCGCCCGCCCACCCAAAGATGCAAGTGCGGGGAATTAAGTCACCCCTGAAAAGACAGCCTAGCCATTTTTTCAGGGCTCAAAAAAAAAAAAACACCCGGCCTTATTACATGAGAAACACAGTAGTGATGGTTTAACTTTAGGCTAGCCTGGGTTTGGAAATCATTAGACTGAGGCTGAGCTAAACGTATAACAGGCCATAATTATATCTTACGAGTAAAGCATGTCTTTTTAACTATTGTTTAGATTCTCCTGTTGAACTTAATGTGATTTGTGCCCTGTAAATTTATGCCTCTGTTTCACTTCAGTTCTTGGTAAGTTTGCATTGTCTGTAGCCTTGTGAATACCAGGAATAATTACTTGATAATGAGAAGAGGAGGAGGTATTCCCTTACCCTTTTTGAGCATTTGTTCACCAGGACAGCTGCATTCACATTTATTCAAAAACCAGTGCAGCATTCTGCACTCCTGCTTTATCAGGATCTTGAGTTCATGAAGATGTGTACAACCCAACATGGTATTTTGTAATTGCCAAATTACCCATATTATTAACTCATTCCATTTATTAAAATGTTAATTGTAATTTAAATGGGAAAGTAGCATCCCAAAAAACTAGCATCCTTACTAAACATCTTCATTTCCCAGATGACATTGGGAAATATAGATTTTGCATCAACATAGTTGCAAAAGATGTTCTTAGTAAAAAAAAAAATGACAGATGGCTACAGATTCCCAGATATTTCTGCAGACAGTAGTGTTTAAAATATGTAATACTTCTTGTAAAAGATCTTCATGCAGTACTGTAGGATACCCTGGGTATGTTTGGTATTAGTAAATTTTCCCTTTCTTTTTTCTTATCCTGAAATTAGCATATATGTAATACTTGTCTAAATAATCTTAGCACTTCATAAAAAGACTGAAGAATGCTGCTTTTCTATGTAAATAATATAGGCATATGGAGAGTGCAAGGGATAGACAAACAACTGTCGTTGAGTGAATATGTTGTTCAATAATTCCTCCTGAGCTGCATTTTTATAAACAATATAGTATATAACTTTCCCATAAAACAGCGGTGGTCATGTTGGCCATGAGAAAAACATAAAAATCAATACAGAACATATCTTTGTTAGGGCCAATAGAAGTTTAATAAAAGTTTCAAAGTTCATTTTTACATAATTGTATTTAAAGTTTTAAAAAGGAACTAATAAAACTAATAAAAGGAATCGGAAAGAAAGCTAAGAAGTGCAATAAAGGAAAAAATAGAAGTGGATTCTGGTCTTTACAGCAAGTTATAAATACAATTATAAATTTACCTTTTACTCTTAGGTTACAAATGACTTTTCTTTCTACAATCAATCCTGTATAATTATAAAACCATAAATCAAAAATCATTTTTCTCTTTTATGCAGAAAGTCCATAAAGGGGTCAGTAAATCAGTAAGAAACATTGTCTTTTCTCTGACCAGAAAATATACTTTGATATTTAATAATTTTTAAAATCCTTTGAAACAGTATATGTATTTGAATTCAAAATTTTCTAGCTTTTTTACATGTCTGCAAAACATTAAGACATGTCCCTCATGTATTTGAAGTGCCTTGATACATTTCCAACATGTATTTGAAGTGCCTTGATACATTCTAATCTAGACAATTTCTTTGGTGACACACACCAGCATATAATATTTTATAAACATTCTCTTTTAACAATGTAAATTTCAATTCTTTCAAGGATATATTTTCCCATTGTTCCATATACATATTATAGCCAAAGTTTTAGCCCACTTTTACTTGTTTTTCTGTTACAAATTTCAATGAACCTTTATACATTTTAGCAATTTACATTTGCATCATTTGTACACAATTCTGCTTCAAATCCAGTCTTACAATATTCAAAACAATAAATTCTATCAGCCTATTATTAGTTCTTCACTTGGTTTTATTTTAGTCCCCTTGACAAAAAAATAAAAATAAAAGAACTTCCAAAACCAACAAAGTCATCTGCAAAAAGGCATTAACTTATATTTTTCTTTTTTTTATCTTTACTTCCACAATACTCTTGTCTTATTATTTCTAGTCAGTATTTCACAAATCAAACAAGAGAGGAAATAGTAGGCAGCCCTGTCTTATTTCTTTTTGTATCTCACAAGGCTTTGTTAAATCCCCATTAACATTTTTTGTGTTTTCTATGAAGTATAAGTTGATCTTACCTATTTACCCAATTATTTAATAATGATATTGGTCTATAGGTTGTTATTAAAGTCAGATCTTGTTCTTAGTGTTATATTGGCCTCTTTCCATCTCTCTGACATCTTTCCTCCCTATAAGAGTTAATTTGTTTTGTAAAGATTGTAAACATTCATCTTCAAAACATGTATAATAAGAACCCGACAACTCATCTGGCCCAGGCACTTTGCCTGGTTTAAACTTTTTTTATAGTTTCAGAAACTTCCTCTATTTTTATAGGTCCATTATCTGCTTCTGTTCCTCTGTAACCCTTGGTAAATTTTGTTTTTTTAGATACTCATCTATTTTCTCTAGAAATATGTCACTTTTTTTGCCCCATTTTTATTTATTTAGTTAGTTTAGTTTGTCAAACATATATGAGAAAACAAATATAAGTATGAACATAACATATAAACATAAGTATATACATAATAAATGAGGATGAATAAATGGGAACAGTAGGACGGGGGTGGCAGGCACACTGGTACGCTTATGTGCGCCCCCTTAAACAAGTTGGAATAATATTGATAAAATACTTTTTGTATAGCCATGCTTTCCATTAATACAGTATCTCCTTGAAGCGATTTGCCTTGAGTTATTAAAAGATTTTCATATGGAATTTATCACTAAAAAGAGATTTTGCTATG